TGGTGGGCCGGGTCATTGGGCTCCCTAAAATATGGTCGAGCCCAGTGATGGCTGGCTCATCCGTCATACTCGTGAACGGGTGCTGCTTGTAGGGACTGGTCTGCTCTAATCACTATGACTGATTTCCTCTCATTAATTGTTTAACCAGTTGGTTATGTATTCAATATTTTTTCTTTTTGAGTATTTAATTGAATTAGTGCTAATTGGTGGTTTGTATTCACACACTTAAACTTAAAAATGTAAAGTAATAATAAAATTATTTAAAAGAGCAACACGCAAGTTTCTTGCTCGTTCTTCTTGTGATGAGACAGCTTTCCGAACGAGCGGTAGATTAAAAAATGTAATGACTATTCAAAAGTGCTTCAGTGTAAGTTTATTTGAATAAATTATTTTCTATTCTATTCTATTCTATTCTATTAGTAGTCATAAAAGAAGATAATTATCTCGGCTAAGGTATAATTGAAAGTCGGATCGTGCGGGTTCAGGGGGGCTATAACCATTTGTTGGGGGTCCGCACGTGACCCCGCCGCGTGGTGTCAACTTACGAAGACCCCAAATCTGTCCTTACTGGTCCCCGTAGTACGTGTTATGAATACACATATAGCCAGTTTGAGTTTCAATAATCTGCCCTCTGCAGATAAAACCGTCTTAGTTTTAAACGTGAGTTTATGATAATAAACGTAAATCTATACCTACATATAAATAAAATTGGAGTAATGTTTTGTAATAGTGAAACAACCGTTATTTACTATATGCATATGAATATATATATGGTACATATACCAAAATAACATCTATACATATAAATAAAATTGTAGTGTCTGTTTGTAATATTGAAATAACCGTTTTTTACTACATGCATATGAATAAATATACGGTAATTATACCAAAATAACGTTTTTTTTAATTTTTGTCTGTCTGTCTGTCGGTTTATTTGTTCCGGCTAATCTGTCATTTCACAGGACCAATTTTGATGAGACTTTTTTTGGCAGGTAGCTGATGTAATAAGGAGTAACTTAGGCTACTTTTATTTTAGGAAAAGAAACTTAAATTCATTACAAGTCATTACATTTTTTTAATCTACCGCTCATTCTGAAAGCTGTCTCATCACAAGAAGAACGAGCAAGAAACTTGCGTGTTGTTCTTTTAAATAATTTTATTATTACTTTACAATTTAAGTTTAAGTGTGTGAATACAAACCACCAATTAGCACTAATTCAATTAAATAATCAAATAGAAAAAATATTGAACATATAACCAACTGGTTAAACAATTAATAAGAGGAAATCAGTCAATTGTTTATATCTGAAAATTGTTACAATGGGCAGGTCGTAATGAAATTGATAAAGTTTTGAATCTCAAAATTGTCTCAAATCTGGCCGGCTCATATTAAAATGGATTTCATTATGATAACGAGTGGGATTATGAAGACTTTTATGGTAATGCCCCACTGTATTTGGACGTGAATTAATTTATCAGTGTTCATAAACGGAGCTTAACAAATCGTCAATTATATAAAAATGAAATTTTTCATATTAGAAGTTAGAATTGCCGACTTTTATATAAGTCAATTAAATTAACCACGCCGTCTTAATCATTATCTAAATACTTTTAAAATGATATATAATACTTCTGTGTGAATTTTTGTTAAAACTTTAATGGAAAAAAAATCTTATATATAAAATTCTCGTGTCACAGTTTTTGTTCCCATACTCCTCCGAAACGGCTTGACCGATTCTCATGAAATTTTGTGAGCGTATTGAGTAGGTCTGAGCCAACATCTATTTTTCATCCCCCTAAATGTTAGGGGTAGTCCACCCCTAATTTTTTTTTATTTTAAGGCAAAACAACGTTTCCCGGGACAGCTAGTATTATATAAATTTAAAGATCTTGAAATGCTTGTCTTGTAAAAATGTACATTTTGGATACTGCCATTTTTCTATTTAACCGACGAAATATTTGATTGACGATCTCGGTGGTCTAGCTATAGCTATCTATATATATAAATATACTTTGTATTGTTATACGTGCTAACAACAATATACATAGGAAACACCGATGCATTCAATCTTACTCATGAAAACAAATATTTGTACCGTGCGAGGTATCGAACCCGCGACCATCGAAAGTAAAGCGGTGTGCTAAAGCGCTAGACCACCGAGGCCGTCAAATATAAATATCAATATATTGTTCAGCTGGCAACCCTATTTACTAGTGTGCATTTTAATCGGCTTAGTGCCCTAATAAAAGGCCAGATAATTGTGCCGCAACGGCCCTGATTAATTAGGGACCCAGGGCGCGAGGGTCGCAACACCTCGTTTCGGGTCAGACGTAAGCACCGGAAGAATCCCTATCAGGTGCTGAAGCCTGCTAGATGCGCCGATTAGCGGATTCTGTTTGGGATATTTATCTCACTTGTAATGGTTTTGCCCATTTGGGCCCGTTCGGTGATTATTTTCAAGGGATTATACCCAATTCAGATTAACAGATGCTTTTCATTTCCTCTGCCATTTAAGGAATTCTTTTACGTTCAATTCTTACACTTGTCTTCCACAGAATAGGCCGCAGTAAATATATTTAATTTTATATGTAAAACTCTCGTGTCACAATGTTAGTAACCACTCCTGTGAAGTATGGAGACCATGACGACGAGCAAAGAAACACGGCACGTACAGTCGTAAAATAATTGTGTATTAATTTTTTTTCCCATATTCGTCCATCTTTTTTTCAGTGATGGAACAGGCAAAGATCTTTAGACCGTACAGCCTAATCTACGTATAAATTTCTTCATATTTGTTCAAGTTATGAGGCCAAAGGCCAATTCTTATGTATGGTTATTATTGACTTATATATAAAATTCTCGTATCACAGTTTTCGGTCCTATACTCCTCCGAAACGGCTTGACCGATTTTCATGAAATTTTGTGAGCGTATTGAGTAGGTCTGAGAATCGGCCAACATCTATTTTTCATCCCCCTAAATGTTAGGGGTAGTCCACCCCTAAATTTTTTTTTATTTTAAGGCAAAACTACGTTTGCCGGGACAGCTAGTGTCATATAAAAACTATATAATATTATAAAAAACATAGATAACAAAAAAGATATAAAAATAGTTCGCAACATCGTCCACCCGTGTAGCACTTTGCTACACAATTGTGTCTTCGTGCAATAGGGCCAGTTTGCGCACGGGTCTCCTCAGTGTGCCCCCTTTGGTGGCCACATCTGCTACTCGCACGACTCCATCTTTGCCTGGGAAGACCCTGGTTACTCTTCTCATAGGCCATACTCCTCGTGGTAAATCAGGATCGACTAGTAAGACGATGTTTAATTGAATTAGGTGTTATTTTAAGTCCATTTCACTACTCGATGGATTTCTATAATTTTGTTTAATTCCACTACAATTAACATGTGTGAGACTACGAATATTCGATGTGGAAACCTGACCAGCGCTACGACCTTCTCCAGTGGCGATCAAATTCCGACCGTTATCGAGTCTACACCCATATCGCGACACGTGTTTCGCCTCTGAACGAGGCATCATCAGGCGTTAATTACAGTTCGGGTACAGCTCGGAAGCCTAGTGTTGACTCATCGGCGACCAAACCGCAAATCGCAGTTGTAGAGTTCGAGTACAACTGCGACTCGCGGTTTGGTCGCCGATGAGTCAACACTAGGCTTCCGAGCTGTACCGAATATTCGTAGTCTCACACATGTTAATTGTAGCCGAATTAAACAAAATAATATAAATTCATCGAGTAGTAAGACGATGTCGTCAACTTTAAAATTCTTGAACACGCATCCTTGCTGTATTCTAGGTTTTAGAATCGGTAAATACTCTCTAAGCCAACGGTTCAGAAGTGTTCGGATAGGTGAAGTGATTTTTGCCACTCCTTCCTTAATAAAAATACTCGCATCATCCAGCCTCAAATTGTTGATAGGTTGTTGGTTTGGTTGTAACGATTTGGCAAAATTTTTGTTACGTTTCTTATTGACAGGAGAAGGTTCTTATCATCATCTGCTTCTCCCTTATCCCATTTATTCGTGGTCGGCGTAATATGTTTTTCGCTTCCATTCATCTCTGTTCGCAGTCATCGCGTTATTTACTTCCTTTCTTACCATATCATCTTTCACACAGTCCACCCATCTCTTTTTTGGCCTTCCTCTGCCCTTATAACCATCCACATTCATTTGTAACATCTTTCTTAAAATATTATCCTCGTTCCTATGAAGGTTCTTATGACAGAAATAAATAATAACGATGCGAAATATTAGAAAAGTGGATACAGTTAAGTTCTCTTTAGGGTGGCGTACTATGTAAAAACAAAGGGTAGAGTCAATATTCATAGTTGAGGACCGAACAACGTTTATCAGTTCAGATACAGATAAATATAAAAACAATTATTATAGTTAGTTAACTATTATATATATATACTTGTTCCTTTTGGAACTTTTATCTCCCATGTGATACAGATAAATATCTAAGTTACTATTTTGTCAACTATTATTTATCTACCTTATTCATTCTGGAACTTTTATCTCTTATGTGATAGAGATAAATATAAAAGCATCTATTTTGTTAAGTATTATATATATAAATTTATTCCTTTTGGGATTTTTATCTCTTATATGATATAGATAAATATAAAAGCAACTATTTTGTTAACTATTATACATATATATATTTTTACTATTTGCGTCTTTTATCACTTATGTGATAGAGATAAATATAAAAGCATCTATTTTGTTAAGTATTATATATATAAATTTATTCCTTTTGGGATTTTTATCTCTTATATGATATAGATAAATATAAAAGCAACTATTTTGTCAACTATTATATATATAAATTTATTCTATTTGCGACTTTATCTCGTACGTGACACGTGTCAAATATCTAAGTTACTATTTTGTTAAGTATTACATATATAAATTTATTCCTTTTGCCTGCTATTTTGAGGCAGACAAATTTGCGCTTATAAACTAGTTACAAATAGGTACTCACACTTCGATGGCTTTGTTCCAGTTGATGACGTAACCGCTCAGCGCGAACGTCTCTATATTGACCACGTGTACGTTCCCACGTTCGGTGCCCACGTGCACCCATTTCGACTGCAACGGCAGGTGGAGACAAGTAATCCTGAGGACAAATGGAACAGACTCTTAATTAGACAACTATTTATAGACGAAAATGCAATCATAATATTACGATAACGGCCTCGGTAGTCTAGCGGTTTAGCATCGTCTTACTTCCGATGGTCGCGGGTTCGATTCCTCGCATGGCACAAACATTTGTATTCATGATTGTTTCTCGGTCTGGGTGTTTTCTATGTATCATACATAGAAAATAGTATGTGTTATTTGAGTTTTCTTTGTACTCTCTTTGTTTGTATTATCGGGATACGAATAAAGATTTTTATCTATCATTACCTGGTGGAAGATATAGGTGAAATAGAGATGGGACAAGCAGACCTTATATAAAGTCGTTCTCAGTAAAGTTGCTGACTGGAGAATCTAAGTTATAATAAAACGAACGGCTAATGCACTGTGCTGCATATGCTGATCTAAATATACATAACTCAAAGGTGACTGACGTAGTGATTTATCAACGCACAGCCCAAACCACTGGACGGATCGGGTTGAAATTTGGCATGCAGGTAGATGTTATGACGTAGGCATCCGCTACGAAAGGATTTTGATAAATTCCACCCCTAAGGGTATAAAATAGGGGATGAAAGTTTGTATGAAACTTTATCAATTTTTATTAATTCAAAATTAAAGTACTCCTTATACGTCAGCTACCTGCCAAAAAAGTCCCGTCAAAATCGGTTCAGCCATTTCAGAGATTAGCCGGAACAAACATATAGAGAGACAGACAAAAATGATTAAAAAAGTTATTTTGGTGCATGTACCGTATTTATATTCATATGTATGTAGTAAAAAACGGTTATTTCAATATTACAAACAGACACTCCAATTTTACTTACATGTATAGATTAATTGTATTCAATTGTACGATCAGACCGTCTCACCACACATTTGCTACATTATAATATTGTCTATTAACACTACAATAATCCTATTTACATTACGTTGAACGCCTCAAAACACATCTGTTAACGCTTTGTCTACGGGCGATACGTTTAAACCACAAGCCTGCATTGCTCAATACCGGGAGTACAGAACAATGAGTTTGTAGCGAGACTGGAGAGATAGCAGCCAGTGTTATCATAGACAATGTACAGTTAAAACCGATTCCAGTATTCCGAACCTCCTTAGTCTAAGCAGGTTGCTTGCTGGAGCAAAGGGCGCTCGGGTACTAATACTGGCCACATATAAAAACATGTGACCACTTAAATTTAGATAAAAGAATTGATAATAAGAACTGAAACTAAAAAGGACTCTTCGTATTTTTATCTATGTAATACAAGATAATTTATTTAACACAATATAATAGTCTAAGCAGGTTGTATCACCTGCTTGCTTACTAACAAAGGGCGCTCGGTAATACTGGCCACATATAAAAACATGTGGCTACTTAAATTTAGAAAAAATAATAAAAAAACAATTGAATATAAGAACTGAAACTAAAAAGGACGCTCCGTATTTTTATCTATATTTATTATTTAGGACCTTTTCATCCTTCACAAGATTCAGCTGCCAAGAGCTGGCTATCTTTCTCATCTTTAAGCCCTTTTTCCGAAATAAAATTGATAGAGAGTGAGTGAGAGAGAGAGTGAGTGAGAGAGAGAGAGAGAGAGAGAAACAAAATATACATGGTGCGTTTCTCTTGTATCTGAGGCTGCTAGCTATAGTTTACTGTGATGGAAAATGGGAGAGTATGCGTCTATACAGAATATAATAAATACTTAGTCACATATACATGTGACTAAGTATTTATTCGTGTGTAAAATTTCAATATAGTACTTGGTATTTGGTGTGGCGATGATGCTATATTGGACCCGCCATCTTGAATTTCATAATTCTGACAATGGACTCGTAACCAGCGACCCCATGCATGCATTGCATGTAGTAAAAAATGGTTATTTAAATATTACAAACCGACACTCCAATTTTATTTATATGTATAGATAACTTATGCATTTCAATTTACTCTGTAGGTTACTCTTATATACGACGGTAGAATAAAAACTATTTAAAGTACTTATAATAAGTTTATTTTAACAAAGCTAACTTCTCTTCTATTCTAAATAAAACTGCTAAGAGGCTACGTGCTGCTACGAAGTGCTACAATATCTAAGTGCTACAGTATGACGCTACGAGTCGTAATAAACCCGTGGCACTTTGTAGTACACTCTACGAGATAAGACTGCAGAACTTTCATACTATTGTTTCAATAGTAAACACCTCGTAGGTCTAGTGGTTTGAATGCTTAAGATGTATAAAGATACGATTCCTGTGTCAAGTATTTTATTCTTAGACAATTTCAAAAGGGATTTCAATGATTAATAAAAGTTTAAGTAACAATAACAAACTGATTTTAGTTAAATGTCGTTTGGCTAAAGTTAGTAATTCGTTTTATGGCAATTGCATGAGGTTTTACAACAAAATACCAGAGTCTGTTATAAATTTGCCCGAAAAAAGATTTAAACATAAAAAACACTTCCTTTGCAAAAAAATTTACTATAAAATTTAAGAATTCGTTAAGGACAATAATGTTATTATAGAAAAACTTAAAATCCATAGCACTGACAATATTATCTGATTACACTAATAATGAGTGCGTAGCGATTTCTATGTTGATTGACGTATGCTTCTCACTTGTTATACGAAAACCTACACGTTGTTAGTATAGTTGGTGATTCTTTTTGTAATTTATCATCAGGTGGATTGTATGCAATACCGTCTTTACCTTAAGGGCACACGGGGCCCGTGCCTAGGGCCCCCATTCTCAGAGGGCCCCCGAAGGACTGACAATTTTTCTCACACATATATTCTCCAAAGATTTTTGTTGGCACACTACACTTTTTTCACAAATCAGTAATGTTATCAGAAGGTATTTACAAGGCATATACTACGCTATTATACCGATTACTTCGCCTATTCCTATGTTCTTATACCTAATGAGCTTTTGTTTTGCTTTCCAAAAGGGCCCCGATTACTTGTGTGCCCAAGGGCCCCAGCCAGTGACCGAATGCTTCAATACCATCGATGTAGTATAAAACAAGCTGAAAACACATCTAGTGGCAATCATATATGGGCAACACTGCGGTCATCAAGTTCAAATCAAATCAAATCAAAACATCTTTATTCATGAAAGTCTAATATAGACTCTTCATCATCATCATCATCATCGCAGCCCGGAAGACGTCCACTGCTGGACATAGGCCTCCCCCAAAGATCTCCACGATGATCGGTCCTGCGCTGCTCGCATCCAATGCCTTCCAGCAATTTTGACCAGATCGGTCCACCTTGCTGGAGGCCATATAGACTCTTATGATATGTCAAATCGAGTTAAGAAGATAAGAAACTCGGTTCTTATTATTTTACTAATTCCTCGTCTATAGGTACTTGGATTCATATAGAATTTTGTAATATAATTTGAAATGAATTTCTTCTAAGTTTCTTGCAACTATCTCGATTTGATAACTTTAAAGCGTTCATTTGAGTGAAAATAATTGTTAATTTACTTGACAAATTTTAAATACGTGCTCAAGACGTTGAACGAGCGGAACCGCGGTACAAAGTGTTATAAATTGTAATACCATAGTTCTGGAGATTACAATGAACACGAAGCACCTATAAATCGAGCGACGCAGATCGGATATTCGTTTTACGAGGTTGTTAGAGTGGCTGTTAACCCAGTTCGAACCCGCGACCCTGCGGGATATTCCTTTACGACTTGACGCTCCACTACTCACTTGGCTTCTAGATATTCTTTGTAATATCCGGTCGTTATGGAAGGTTTTAGTTCAACAGGTTTAAGGCAATTAAGAGATGTCTAGATAGGTAGATAGAATGATTTCTAGATGGAAAAATTCAAATTCAAAATATCTTTATTCATGTAGGTCTATTACAGACTCTTATGATATGTCAAATCTACTGTCAGTTCGGAATGATTTCGAGATGAGAAGAACTGACAAGAAACTCAGCTCGTATTCTTTTCAAATAAATGTTGTACATGTTTACAATAATACAGATTCATTTTTAAATTCAAATTTGGGAGAATAGAGTGACCACCAGCATATGCTATTGCCAAAACAAAGAGTAATTAGTGTTCCTAATCATTAGCTAGCTTTCCTTAGATGCTTTTTTTTGCAAAAACCGAGTTTTTCTACTACGTGTATTTAGTATAATTTGAGTTTTTAAATACTTAAGAAACTGATCTGAAATCTTGTTTAAAGAAAATCTGACTAGATGGAGACGTAGATAATAATAATAAATCTCAGGACAATTCACACAGCGCCATCTAGACCCAAGTTAAGCTAGCTAAAGCTTATGTTATGGGTACTAGACAACTGATACAAATACATAGATTTTTTTTCGTAAATACATACATATTATACATAGAAAACACCCAGACCGATACAAACAATAGTACTCATGAATACAAATGTTTATGCCGTGCGAGGAATCGTACCCGCGATCGGACGTAAAGCGGTGTGCCAGACCGCTAGACCACCGAGGTCGTCCTCGCCTTATCCTATGGTCAAAATTTCATAAATTTTAATAAGTTATTGTAGAAAAATTATTGGTACTTTGAAGAGGGGTAAGGCATGCAACCTTAAAGGCATTTATTATCTCTTTCTCACACGTTATAACCTAAACGATTAAAAAAAAAGACAATTATTAATATTAATTGACAATTTAAGAAAGTTTCTTTTCATTCATTGCCTTGCCTTTATCCCATTATTTGTGGTCGGCGCAGTGTGTCATTCTCTTCCACTGCTCTCTATCGGCCGTCATATCTGAACATACTGTTCTTTTATTCATATCATCTTTCACACAATCCATCCATCTTTTCTTACGGCGTCTCCTCCCTTTACATCCACCCACATTCATATTCATTCAAAGTTTCTTTTAGCGGATTAAAAAGCTAACCTTTACCAGAAGCATATAGGCCTATTGTGCCGGTCCGTCATGGTCCCGTAGACGAAGTCGAGGGCGGAGGCTATAGTA